CGGGTTTTTTTTGTTATGTGGAAAAAAATTTTTTTTATAGTTACCTAATACTGCAAAGTCATACAGAAAACAAAATTGAAAAAATTAATTTTATAAACTTATGGGAATCTGAAAAAAATAACAATAATTGTAAAAAATTAAACAAATTAATAATTGGAGAAATTTTGTGTATTAAAATCAACATTTTTTTCCGTTAAAAAACGATTCTTTAGCCCTTTTTTTGGACACTAAAAAAAACAATAGTGTAGATTAGCGTTTGTTATGCGTTAAAATATTTTCTTTAAAAGGTTTAAAGTATTTAGTGGGGGGTATTAAGTTACGTTTTTTAAAATTTTTTTTATTTTCCCTTTATGCATTGGGTTGTCCGTTAAATGTTTTTGCTGATGATGTTGTATGTTTATGTATGAAATTTTTTATGTTTTTGTATGTTTTATTTATTATGTATGTATGTATGTATGTATGTATGTATGTTTTGTGTGGTGTGGTGTTTGGGGTGGTGCGGGGTGGTGGTGGTGCGTGCGTGCGTATGTATGTATGTATGTATGTATGTATGTATGTTGTATGTAGTTGAGTATGTTTTATTATTTTTTATTAGTTTTATGTTTGTGTTTGTGTTGTGGGGTGGTGGTGCGTGGTGCGGGTGGTTTCGTGCGGGCGTGCGTGCGTTTCGTGCGTGGTGATGATGCATCAGGGTGATGCATGGGATGCTGCTGCATGCATGCAGCATGTATGTTGTTTGTAGTATTTTTGTTGTTGTAAGTATGAGATGATGCATGCGGCATGCATGATGAGCTGTATTTGTTGTATGTATGTTGTTTTATTGTAGTATGTGTGTTATGTAAATTGTATGTATATGTATGTATGTATGTATGTATGTATGTATGTATGTATGTATGTATGTTGTATGTATGTGTATGTATGTGTGTATGTGTGTATGTAATTGTGTAGTGGGTATGTATGTATGCATGTATGTATGTAGTATGTATGTATGTATGTATGTATGTATGTATGTATGTATGTATGTATGTATGTATGTATGTATGTATGTATGTATGTATGTATGTATGTATGTATGTATGTATGTATGTATGCATGTATGTATGAATGCATGGATGGATGTATGTATGTATGTATGTATGTATGTATGTATGTATGTATGTATGTATGTATGTATGTATGTATGTATGTATGTATGTATGTATGTATTTTCTCTTCTGGAGTTAAGAGGATTTTAGAGAATTTGAAATGTGCCTTTCAGTAAAACCCAAAAGCTAGTCTTATATATCTTTACATAACATAGCAGACACCTACCTGTTACTAAGCCATGCTTAACGGATTCTTCTCGCTTGATCAATTCATATCATCGTAATATCTGATCAAAATACAGTAAATTAACTCCGACATAAGCAAAATTATGAGATTAAAGAAGAAAACATCACAGATCATAAGTTTTATGTAAAAAAAAAACAAAAAAACTTTTTCAGTGTAAAAACTAAAACCTATGCTATTTCGTAATTTATAAAGATTTTTTAATGGTGGAACAGTATTATGGTTATTTCAAAACAGTTATATTTCTTCACCAACACAATATTTCGAAGTCTAATATTAAGTAATGTGCTATCATGATTATATAAATAAAATGTAATTATACCAGATACTTTACGACCGCATGCAAACAATTCTTTAATTGCTTTTTTACTGAAAAAAAATCGTTTCTCTTTGCAAAAATTGACTTTTAGGTCCATGTTTATTTTTGTATATGTTTTTGGTGTTGGAAAAGGAATTTTTTTTATTTAGTGCAGGGTTTATCTCTAAATTTTCCCGGGGAATTCTATTTTTTTATCGTTTTGTCTGTAGAGAGGTTTGATTCTGTAAATTTATAAAACAAATCCCGAAATTCATCGTTAAATTAAAAAAAAAATTTTGATTATTAACATTATTTTCATTTGTATTTAAATTAATAGCTAATGTTAAATTTTCAAATTAATTGTGTTTGACAAAAATTTCTTATGATGTACGAGTGGTATTAATTTTATTTCAATACCCTTTTATCATCGAAATTACTTCGTCCACGTTTTATAATTGTGCTCGCTTCGAGTTTTTGATGATTTGTTCTAATCACATTAGTTTTAAAGAATTGAAGCTAATTTACAGCTGTTTTGAAATAATCGAAATTCCAAACTTTTCAATTCGTGGGGATACTTTTTTTTCTTTTTAGTTTTGTAATTATAGAAGATAATGCTACTTTTAATCCAACAAACTCTCACTAGCACAAATATAAATTCGTCCTTAAAAATTTTAAAAATCTTTTTGTTTGATTATCTGAAAAACCCCTACTGGTGGGATTTGTTTAAAACAGTTTAATTCGCAGATTTTAAAACCTTTAAAAAATCCTTTTAGAAATTCCTAAATTGCGGGTAGTTTGCTGAGCTTTTATTACGTTATCTAATTTTAATTGCGCTTTATTATTTTCATCACCTGAAGCTTCTACAATGATATGACTTTCATAGCCACGTAAGTTATATAAAACTACGAGAATAAAATCTGGAGGATGAAATTTTAAATTGCATCTATTATGATATGTTATGATCTACACCACGATATTGACCGGTCAAATGACAATGATCTCATACCATATGGCCTCCGCTTGAGTTCTCCAGTAACTTTACACAAATATGACAATTAACTGCATCATCAAAATCAAGTTCTTGTTTAGACGTTATTCTCCTCTGAGCTGTTTTAAGTAATCTGTTATAAATTTTATTAACTTCGTCTATTAAAATTTTTAGTAACCACTGTTATGTCATGTTTCACCAAACGTTCTGTATCAAAGTTTAATATAGAAGATTTTGCCATTATTGTTATACAATTTTATGTTCTATAATTTTGTCAAATAAATAATGAGCCATTCTTCAAAATGTTGAAAATTAATAGGAGATTCAACATCACAAACTCAGCATGGTGACTTATCTAAATATGCAAATCTTGATCAGCTCAAAAATGAAATCAATAATTTATTAAATACCACAAGTGTTGATCACAATGAAGATGTTATTTTAACAGATAAAGAAAGACGATTAAAGACAAGCAATATACAACTATCAGATGCATTTGTACTTATACGAATTCCCACCGCTGTTGTTAATGACATTAATTTTTGCTCATCAAGGTAAAATACAAGATTCCGGTGAGTCAGTTAACAAGACGCAGCAACGAAAAAAATACGTCGATGATCAAGAATTTAAGTACGTATTAGTGCGCGGTGGAAGTATGCGTGCATCTCTCAATTGAATAATAATGGTATTAATAATCTCAGAACACAAGAAACAGATTTCCACGCTGTAACTAAAAATACGTCAACAATAGCAATATTCCGACAGTGACAGCAATAACAACATTTAACAAAGACATTAATTCATTTAAAATTGATTATGAGAATCACATACAAACGTTCCTGAATTTTTGTAGAAACATAAACAGATCTATTAATTAATATTTGTAAGTCCACCGGTTGTAGATATTAAACTCGTTGATATTTACACACAAAAAAGCGATAGTGTCAGTGGCATTCCTAATATCGTTAAAGGTCCTCCTGGACGATCTAACAATATAGTATACACAGTAGCATCAATATCAACAGTATGTACGCCACAAAATAACACTACAAACATACCGCGGAAGTCACTGGTGTATATAGGCTGTCCTAATGTAGCAATGCAAAGTTTAGTAAATTTACTACATTTCCATGGCGTCATTCAACCGATAATTTTTCTGGAGTTTTAGCAGTAGTGTTACATTTCTACTAAAAGCATCTTATCAAAAAATTAAACCTAGTGATTTACTGATGGTGTCTTGAATTTGTAGCTGAAACTCCACAATTACTTACTTAGATGATAGTATAAAATATGTAAACAAATATTATAAAATGAAAAAAGTTAATTTCATTCCTATTTCAGAAAACATTCAGAAACAAGATTTGGACGCTATAATACAATATTACAGATATTATCATTAAGAAACTTTGTTGTGTGAAAAACTGGTACAAATATTATAACAAAATACTTCGAATGATATTATATTTATCGTTGTTATTGACTAGCTCTGGTTTAATTTCAAGTGCAGCATCATTTAATCCGTTTTTGTTAATAAATATCCGGCGTTGGTGTTCTCTTGCAACAGCGTGGAAAAATTTAGCCTCGACTTGCGACTAAAATAAATGCTTGCAAAACAACAAGTATCACCTAAAAAAATTACTTGATAAGATACGATCATATTTGCGTGGTATAAATATGATATAGACGACATATAGATGATATATCCTCTGAATCTTTATTAAACACTACTGATAATACGCGAATTCGGTATTATTGATAGTATGTGAAAATATATTTTGCCAATGAGAGGCAGCAGGTATGAAAAAGATTATGAAAAAAAAACATGGATTACAAAAGTAGAGGTTTAATTTTGTGTAGCTTTAGAAATATCGTTATCAAATAAAATATCAACCATAATATCGCTAAATGGCATTAGATCTTCTGCCAAACTAGCTATTCGCTTATCATTTTCAGTCGCGAATAACCATATTGCTCCATATTTTGGTTATATATGGCAACCAACTTTTTTAATTCAATCGCTTATTTTTTTTAGGTTTTATACAAGTATAACTTGAGGCTGATTTGATGGAATTAAATCTCTTACAAAATCTGTTTGTCAGATCAAATCCAACATGTCGGATTGAGTTATTGTACATTATATATAATATTCTATTGTCTTTTTTATCTGAAATTTTATCTAATAAGTATAGGATTGTAATAGGTAACTGAGTTGTTCCTATCTCAGAGACCCTCTACCCTGGATAAAACATTTTTTGTCTGAAATATGAAGGTCATCAAAGGAAGATGAAAATCATGTTAACGTAACTTTTTGGAGGGGAATTGGGTCTCTTCAGATGATCATCAAAATGCCAATACCTACTCCATTATTTTCAAACGTCTTTGGCATGACTCTGCTGGGGTTCGAACCCACGACCTCCTGTATCCGAGGCGGACGCTTTAACCACTAGGTCACTGGAGCGGTCAGTTAGAATATTAATCTACAATATCATTGCACACACCATGCAGTATAAAACCTAAACAACATTTGTAAGTTGTAATACCTGGACTATATGTCTTAATTGTATATGGTAGCTTTTTTTTAAATCGCTCCATGTAAAGATGAAAGGAGATGCAAATGATACAGTTGTAACAAACAGTTGTAACAAACCTTAGGATAATGCTGATTAAGAGTTTATTACAGCAGTGATAGTATTTTTAACCTGAACGATGATTTAGATTTTTTTTAAAAAATGCAATAATCTGAAAGACAAAAATCATACCGAATGGCACAACTACCTCAGATTATCGCTATGATCCATTCTTACATTGAAACATTCTGACATAAAGAGACCAGGTAACCAACTTCCAAAAACTTCCTTCCACGCTCGATACTCGATTTCTCTTGCTATTTCCATCTTTGAAGGCATACGATAATCTATGTTTGGTTTTACTAATGAAATATTTTTCTATTTATCAAACCATAGTGATTTTTTCTGAGTTGCACCAACTAAAGTTACGTTTCTGAAACGTACTAATTGCATGAAGTTTGTCTGCCGGGAGAAAGTTACGCTTATATGTAACGTAATATGATTGGATCAAAAGGTAACACCCTGAACCAGATGCATGAGTGTAATTTTAGCAGTACCATTTGAGCCAATGATATTTCGCCGTTAACGTTGTATGCCGCATAGCCAGGATGTTTTGAAATAGCGTGTGACGTGTATTCGATTTGTGTGCATTTAAGATAATTATTCTAGTGAAAAGGATTCTTAAATCTGAATTGAGTTAAGTAAGTAAAAACATACTTTTGCATCTACCATCGTTCTCAAATTAACGAAGACATGTATTTTGGAGTCGTAAACATTTCTCAGTAAATGTAAACATTTCTCAGTAAATTGAAGCTCGTTGCACAGGAACCTATGCTTGTCTTTAGTGAGACTCGGCCGGGATTCGAACCCGCGAGCTTTTGCATCCGAAGAGGACGCTCTAACCAGTAGGCAACATGAGAGGTCTCATGGAGGGTATATAAATAATAACTATTTAAAATGAATTAACGAGAAATAATTAAACATAAAGATATTACATGGTTTGCTTTGTTTATTCACAAATGAAAAAACACAATCAATATATAAAAGTACTTAAGGGGTTTTAATTTCTCTCTCTCTCTCTCTCTCTCTCTCTCTCTCTCTCTCTCTCTCTCTCTCTCTCTCTCTCTCTCTCTCTCTCAAAATTCATTATTCGATGGGCATGGCAATTTCTGACCAGAAATGCCTACTAGTTAGAAGCATGATTAAAATGAATAAATTACTATTTCTACAATCAATTTGTAAAATTCACGGAATTTCTAAAAATTGTTGAGACTCATTTTCTTCTGCCTATATAATCATGATGCTAGGCTGGGAATATGCTGAGGATCAGAAACCACACACTTCACTGGGAAAAATCCGGCTTTGATCCCACAGAAAGAGAAGGTTCTCATAGAGAAACCGACAGCCAGCCCGAATTCGTTGGCTTCCGTCAGTTGATAGATCACCATTCCTGTTGGCATGTGATAACTAGGATATATTAGACGCAAATCACCGTATCTATATTAAATATTTAACGTTTTATGGGCATTTAAAGTGCTTTTAACTTTTACTTATTTGCTACTTTTGTTGAGTGATGTGTAAACAGTTGTAATGGTAACTGTATGTGCGCAATTTTGAGTGGAAAATTTAAGGTGGGAAACCAATAGAACGTAGCAATCGGTAATATAATATACTTTCGGTTTCTATACTGTGATCTTTGTTCGCTTTTCTCTATCTTCGGATTTTTGGAAGATAATACCGAATTATTAAAATAAATATGTTATCTAGGGCATTACTATGAAAAACAAAGTGTTTATACAGATTGTTGCAATAATAATAATAAGACTTAAAAATGGCATTGAAGATGCAAATGACAAGGCAAAAAGGAAACTACAATATGTATATCTTTTCCAATGGAATACAACTCTGGTAAAGCAGTCCTCAAATATATATATATATATATATATATATATATATATATATATATATATATATATATATATGCAATAAACTGACGACGAACAGTACGAAACTAGTAACTAACTAGCCTAAGCGCTTTCGACTCTTAATGAGTCTTTTTCAAATGCAAATACAAAACATATATACGATAAACAAATAAGCACAAAAACGTTGTGTTTGTAAACGTCTACATGGCTGTCTTCACATGTGCTAAAACTATAAATACAACCAGCTTGTATAGACTAGATGCGAAAACTGAAAACGTTGTATAATTCCCTAAAAGTCAACAAGCCAAAGCGACATCTATTTTTACTTTATGTACATATGTAACGCAGATTATACCCCGGATATTTGATTCTATACCGGTTATTCTTATAGTAAAAATTGAAGGATAATAAGAAGATTTAGAAAATGTTAAATTTTACTAGTGCATAGTTTTCATTTTCTAGTCTTCTTGGTTTAGACCGCTTGGTTTCAATGTTCTAAGGCGGCGTATCCAGTATGATTCCTTTTCCTTTCTGGTTTCGGAACTCCAGCTGTGGTTGTTAGCAATAGCGATAAGTATTATATCACTGAAAGTGTGGCCAGTGGAGGAGAAGTGTTCTGCGACCGGACTTCTGTACAGCTTTTTTGTCATCCAATCAGATCTATAAAGGTTTATCCTTTTGTGTAGCTTTTCAGTTTCTCCGACGTACTGAAGGCCACAGATCTTACATGTGATGAGATAAATCACATTCTCTGTTTTGCACGTTTTGTTTGGACCATGTATGTTTAGTTTTTCTTTAGTCACTGTGCTAGTAAATGTCTTGGTCTCTATCATATGTTGACAGGTTTTGCATCTTTTATCGCCACAGGGTCCAGATTGACTAGGTTGGTTTTGACTAGCGATTGGCGTTAGCTTTGCCCTGACTAGGATGTCCTTTATGATTTTTGGTCTCCGGTAAGCTACTACAGGTTTGTTCGGAAGTATTAGGTTTAGTATGTCTGACGATTGCACGGTTGGCCAGTGGTTTGCGATGATTTTACCTACTTTAGGATTGTCTGGGTGATAGGTCAGAATAAATGGTATCCTATCAACCTTTTCTTTCTGTCCATATCTGAGTAGGTCATCACGGTTTTTCTTTTTTTTGACCCTTTGGATTGCCTCCGCAATCAGGTCTACAAACTCCAGGTTTGTTCGGAAGTATTAGGTTTAGTATGTCTGACGATTGCACGGTTGACCAGTGGTTTGCGAAACATTTAATTTACAGAGGCTACGACAAAGACCTGATTGCGGAGGCAATCCAAAGGGCCAAACAAACAAACCGTGATGACCTACTCAGATATGGACAGAAAGAAAAGGTTGATAGGATACCATTTATTCTGACCTATCACCCAGACAATCCCAAAGTAGGTAAAATCATCGCAAACCACTGGCCAACCGTGCAATGGTCAGACATACTAAACCTAATACTTCCGAACAAACCTGTAGTAGCTTACCGGAGACCAAAAAACCTAAAGGACATCCTAGTCAGGGCAAAGCTAACGCCAATCGCTAGTCAAAACCAACCTAGTCAATCTGGACCCTGTGGCGATAAAAGATGCAAAACCTGTCATCATATGATAGAGACCAAGACATTCACTAGCACAGTGACTAAAGAAAAACTAAACATACATGGTCCAAACAAAACGTGCAAAACAGAGAATGTGATTTATCTCATCACATGTAAGATCTGTGGCCTTCAGTACGTCGGAGAAACTGAAAAGCTACACAAAAGGATAAACCTTCATAGATCTGATTGGATGATAAAAAAGCTGTACAGAAGCCCGGTCGCAGAACACTTCTCCTCCCCTGGCCACACTTTCAGTGATATAATACTTATCGCTATTGCTAACAACCACAGCTGGAGTTCCGAAACCAGGAAGGAAAAGGAATCATGCTAGATACGTCGCCTTAGAACATTGAAACCAATCGGTCTAAACCAAGAAGACTAGAAAATGGAAACTATGTGCTAGTAGAATTTAACATTTTTTAAATCTTCTTATTATCCTTCAATTTTTACTATAAGAATAACCGGTATAGAATCAAATACCTGGGATATAATCTGCGTTACACAAATGTACAAATAGTAAAAATAGATGTTGCTTTGGTTTGTAGACTTTTAGGGAATTATACAACGTTTTCAGTTTCCTCAACTAGTCTATACAAGCTGGTTGCATTTATAGTTTTAGCACAGGTGAGGACAGCCATGTAGACGTTTACAAACACAACGTTTTTGTGTTTATTTGTTTGTCGTATATATGTTTTGTAAAAGCGCTTAGGCTAGTTAGTTACTAGTTTCATACTGTTCGTCGTCAGTTTATTGCATATATATATATATATATATATATATATATATATATATATATATATATATATATATATATATATATATATATATATACTGACGGAAACTTTGTGGATCTGATGTGACACGTTCATTGAAACGTGCAATTTTGTTGCGTACATATCAATGTGAACATTTTTTGCATACGAATATGTCCAGAACGCACCCGCGTATAGTTTAGACACTTGCCGGCGTTTGTAACAACCGCTTGTACCCCTGAAATTCAAACTGATCAGACGAGATGGGGTTGTGGTATTTAAAGTACATTTGCAATTCGTCAAACCTAGGGTTTGATCCGGAAATATTCTGTACATAGCGCCAAAAGGACCCTTCAGCCGACGGTAGATCAAAAGAAGCAACAAATGCCGGTTTTTGAAGTGTACACCATTGTATTGCGTACAGGTTTGTCTGCAAACGATTCCTTAATTTTGTGAATAGGTGAGATCAGACCTACATATGGCCCATCAGAATACACGGCAGTTTTGGAGGATGATTTATCGGACTAATGCGATACCAAATCTCAGTTTTAACATCACTGTATATCATTATATGTTTAATAGAAGCTTAGTAACGAGTACTGCAGATTTTATG